GTAAACATAGAGGGCTACTACAGGGCAGCTAAGTGGAGGTTCAAGGACTAGAATGCCTATTTTACTTAATATTTTCTATTTTTAGTGCTGTTACTCTATTTAACAACGATTAATACAACTTGTGTAATCGCGAAAGTTTTAGTGGAAATTTCATAAAGGCCTAACAACAGTGGATTTCTTTAGTTTTTTTTGCACGAATAGGCTTACAGCCTTCCTCGAAGATCACTATGGTCCTCGTTTTCTGTGCACATTTTTACTACTTTGTCATTTTATCTTGGCTTTTCAGTTCATGTTATGTGCTTTCTTCAACCACCTACTTCAGTTGGGTGGTATACCTTTTTACGCTGAAGAATGCTAGTGTTCAACTTCTTCGACCGCGGCCTCAATAAATGAATAAATACAAGTGTTTATAAACATTTTTTCCAGAAATATTTGTCACATTTCGAAACATTAGAAAAGAAAATATCCTTCTTTCTAGTTATTTATGCACGTATCGAAGTCGAGGTATCCTAAAATTGAACATGTACGCTGATGACAAAATGGCGTACGCGTGTCCAAAAAAACACCTCAGTCGAACCGTTCGGATAACTTACTATAGTACACTTAACTTAATCTCTTACTTCAATCAAATTTCAATGAGCTGCGACCTCTGGACATCATTATCTAGAGAGATTTTTGGCTATGGCCCGTTACACTAACTTTAGCCATCCTCATGTAATGTAACTGGTTCCACCATATTGTTCTAACCTGTCATCACCTGCGGACAACACGGTCAGCTAGACCAATATGCTGTTTCAACGTACGGATGCATATATAGTGGATTCAAGCATCCGGGAACAATCACTGTCTCTGCGCATACTATTATCTTGAGCAATTTATTCAGAGGTTGTTTGTTTAGCTTTGCAGTCATGGATGGTCATTTCCGTCCGTTCATTTTCCCGTAGTTACGTAGCACGTAGCAAAACGACCTAATAGTCGTACACGGTTAACTTTCACGTAGCTCAACATTGACCTCTGAGTTAATTATCATTTTGTCCAATCTTTGTATCCCACTTCGAACGGAACTCTTTAGTTGGGTCTTCATCAGAAGAAAGATTAGATTAACGGTAAATCCTTGATATTGTTGCTGTTAAGAACAACAGAGGCTTTGGCAGACAAAGATGTCTGAATACCTATATGAAAATTGAACGAATTAATTTGCGCTAACACCTAGCAAAGGACTTCTAGGCCTTGAGGGTTGATCATTTAGGCTTTCAACACACCCACGCCTGACGATCAGGCTTGCCCTGCTACCAGCACGAAACTATAGTGCTTGCCCTTTACAGGTGTAAACATGGACTAATGAATTTTGGTCAGGTAGCGACCGCGATTCTAAGTACGCACAACTATAGTTTTCAATTAAATTTGTCATACCTGGTATTAAATACAAAGTAAACCTTAAATCATAAGAAACCTTAGCTTATCTCAGTCGGGTTTAGCTAATGATCTTCTATACATGCTAGCATACTTGCCTTGCGTAAGTAAAATAGAAGTAAAGATGCCGTCTAGCTCTTTGCCATTGCGGCACTTCAACTTAATTACACAATATGTACATATGTATATCGTGCGATACTAATTTATAACCGCTAAGTTATAAACATAAGCTCCTCTAATAACATTACAGTAACTTAATAGCACCATTGACCCATCAAGTCCAGTTTTAAAGTAATATAGCTAAATGAAGAACGAGCGAGGAGAATGCATTACTATGGAAAAGACCTCCGCTTTTGTCATAATTGGAACATGTGGTTCAGTTACCCATATAAACCTCTGTGAAGGAATTGCAAGCAACATAGAAATAGACAAGAAACATCTAGATAGTTATTATTAGTTGGGATTCTAAGAAATCCGGTTGATTGAAGCTTTAGATTAATCAATTTAGATTTAGATTAGAGATTAATAAATAAAATACGTACCTACCAAGAAATTAAACCTAATGATTGGGGTAAATTGAGATCGGATCTTTGGCCTGATGGGGCAATATTCTGTTCGATTCAACTAGGACGCACATCTCGCAGAGAAAAGTGGAAAAAAACGAATAAGGTGTTTCGTACGACTTGGTTATCTCGGTCGGTTCTTATTATTAACATAGAAAATTTCAGGGGCAGAGTAAATGTAAAGGTCATTTTTAGGCCCCATTGGGGTATCACTATTTGATATGTGCATTAAAAGCTTTTATCAATATGTTTAGGAAACAAACGATCGATCGTTACCGTGCCCTTTCGTAGAAAAATAACTCTACAGTATAGTATCGTACTTCAATTGTGCTCTGTTGGGTCAGAAGATCGAGTTAACCAGAAGGCCTGGGAGATCAAATGAAGTTTGGCATCATGATGTCATTATCATTGACTCAGTGTAGAGAATTATACGTCCTTCCCCAGCTTCATCCCCCTGTTCGATTGCCTAACCAGTGCCTTTTCCCGCTATGTATGCTATTTTATATCGTGCTAATGAATAACTTGTATAATTTAAATGATGATCGTATGCACTGAATAGACGAATGCCAATGAAATAAGGACACGAAATTAAGTAATCGAGTTGATTTTTTACACGTTTTTATTGGTATTTTTCTGTTATTTTTTCTGCCTTCCTCGTCCTACTTCCTCTTCCCATTTCTATATTCTCTTTATTATTTTGCCTTTTTTTTTTCTTTCCTAGTTTACCGTTTTGTTCACATGCGTTTTTACATACGGTTTTTCCGCCATTTTCTTCCACTCTCCAGCTCGTTCTCTACCCGCTGATATTTCTCTTTCATATGCATCTACTCTTCGCAATATGTTACCTTCAATATTTACACTTTACATGGTGACTGTACAAAAATAGATCTTTATAGTTTCTGTTGCTGTTGTTGTTGTATTTTAATGATTTGTTGTGGTTGTCGTTTTATAATTCGTTATCATCTCCTCGTTGTTATCCTCGTGACCATCTGTGCCCCCTGATCCTTTCAACCATCTACCGAGTAAGAACTCAGCTATTATTAATATGATTTTACCATTACGAATAGTTAACATTGTCATCTGCGATTATTATCCCTTGTTCTCTGAACTCTAAGCTGTTGTACACAAATTTCTATTGGGCATTTTGCCTACCGATGCGCGACTTCAATGGTGATGCTATTGCAAACCCAATTATTGACCACTGTTTGTTGTAGATTCGGCAATTTCTAATTGAAGCTGCACCATCGTTATGCTCTATCGTTTTTTACTTGTCGCTGTAAACGATGGGCATCTGTCGTATCAGAAAATATCATGTGCTTGGAGATAAAATGAACGAATGAGACGAACATCTACAACCCTCGGCGTTGCAGCCGAGAAGTTTGATTTGATTCATTGCTGAACGCGTGCGGCACCTTCAGCTACGTTGGAATAGAAAAACTATTATAAGTTACGATTTAGTGCTATTCCTGCTTCTAAACTCACTTTGTGTAACGTCGGCCTTCGCCTATTCGTTTGATTTATTATAATTAGAACTTTTTCAAAGAAATAAAACAATACTGTTAGTTATATGTTGAATTGACGGCATTAATTCTCTCGTAGCCATCGCCGTCACCATCATCACTTGCTCTATTTCTGTCGTCGTCGGAAATTGGATCGAATCGACGGGGAAGTTTGTGTCGACCAGCATCAATATTAAAATAAATACTATGTTATATATACTCTATCAGCATTGAATCCATCCATCCATCCATCTATCCATCCATCCATCCATCCATCCATCGCCAATTATCATTTCTCGTCATGTCCCGGTATTTACCGGTCGCATGGTTACAGTGCTCCTACGCCGTAATACTAATAATAAATTACGACTATTTATAAGTATTAATAAATTACATTTGTAATAGTAATGATCAGTAGTATGTACATAAAGGTGTAACGCCTCCACCGATGGAGGGCCAATCGGAGCATGTCTTTGAGTTACAAAAGAATCTACAAAAAAAATGGGGACTGCCACCTTCGATTTGTTTTATATAAATAGGCGAGCAACATCATTCAACGCTGAAAACAATTGTTTCGGATCGTATATTACATTCAACAACTACCACACGACCGCTTAGAGTCGTTATTACTAATCATAATAGAACCCTATCACTAGTATTTAGTCAGACAAGACCTGCGCAGTGACGAATCTTATTTTTCTATGAAAATTCCATTAAAGCTAAAGAGGAGTCTTGTAGTGTTTTTGCTGGGACAAATGAATATCATACAAAACGGCTATAGCAGACAAATGGTGTGGGTAATGATGCTTCTTATGGCCATGGGAACATTGATTTGTTGATGCGAACTGGGATAATCGTAATGAGAGCATGTCTTTGGGTCCGATTAGACTATCAGACTTTACGGCCCACTCAAGAAAAAAGCAGTCGATCAACAACTTGGATTATTTGGCAAGTGAGGTGATCACTTCACTTATTAATGGCAGATTATAATGGTGCGGCGGCGGAGATTTCTACTTAAAAAAATTAAATCAACCTGGAGATGTGACTGCAAAACTCCAGGAGAAAAGTGTGCGCGGCTGACGAGCCACGATGACGACGACGACGACTCTTATCGATCAGACAGAAACGATGACCTAAGTCCGGCGGCCGCCATAGCAGCGCTGGTAAAGGTAGAAGGATGCCTGCAGCTGTAGCAGGAAACTGTGGGATTTTTAACAAGTGAGACTGGTGCACCCCAGCCGCTCACATTTGTGGATAAACGATATCGACCGCGGCTAGTCCAGGTCGTCATATTCGTTCAATAAATACATTGTCATCGTTATAAATTCCTACCAATAAAATACAGCTCCGCGTCGCCTACGATGACGATTACCACCAAATCATTAACTAGACGCTTGTTTATCGCCCTGCAGTCGCATCTGCACAATTGTAGTCTACATGCAATTCAGCACTGAGATTTGACTAGATTTCAAGTGGGATGGTCCTGGTTATCATGGCACGCGCGAACTCCACCCCACCGACGTGTCTTTTCACGTCAACGTTATATATATATATATATATATATATATATATATATATATAGGGGTAAATTGTTGTCCTAATGTGACTTTGTTCGATTTGCGTTGAGCACATTTTCAGGCCGCTTTTCAGGATGCTTAGCGAGACGTGTAAAGAGGCGGCTGACGTATTCTGTTATGCTGATAAAGTCACGTAAGATTACGTAGTCCCTAAGCATGATCTGGTGCTCTCCCAATGCGTCGACTGGCTTACGTTGCTCCACTGACATAACATCGCGAAGCACATCGGGATCTTTACGGATTTTGAGCATGCTGATGCTCATATCGAACTCACATAGCAGCTGCTTAAGTGAGTTTTGGACCTCCCTGAAGTGGCCATCGAACCCGCCTTTGCGGGTGAACATCTGATCGAGCGTCGCCTGCTCCAGGCCCACCGCGTAGTGCTGCAGATATCCGTAGACCTTGCGAAATGCTGTCGTTACCTGAAACAACAAGGCCCCTTGTTAGCGTCCGATCGCCTTACTCCATTGATGAGTTGGCTCAAAGAAAACGGCTAGCTACTACTACCGTGGCGACTATAACCGCACAGATACTTTGCCGACGAAGATGAAAATACCATATTATGGAAGTTTCGTCGTTGTTAACTGGTTGTTGTTGTTGATGCCTTAAGCTAAGACGAGACGCACCATCGACTATAGTGCTTCTTTAGTATTGATCTCCCGTTTCACCGGTAGCGATGCCGCTGCCACAGCTATCGCCACCATATATATATATATATAAATGCGATATATATAATATCTATCGTATTTCTTTGACTTTCGTCGACTTCAGACCCGTGGCTGGCCTACGCTATCGTTGTCGCTGGGCTTCGCGTCCGACAACAACAATAACAGCAGGCGGCATCGAGGCATATGGATGTCTCTACTATATATGGTGGGTTATTGTGCGCGTGTGGTGTTAGTGACCGCACAAGCAAGGAAGCAGCCGTCGGGACGTTAGTCCTTGGCCAAGACGAAGCTAACGTACATTGGCTAACAGGTAAATTTGTATTCAGTTCGAAATTATAGTAAAAAGCAACGCTATTTCCTCTAGTGTTACTTGTACTGTTGCTGTGGAATCCAATCCTAGCCTCTGCCAGTAGGTACCAATTTTCGTCCGTCCGTTCGTCGACGAAGGAAGAAGCAGGTATGCATAGTCTATCTAAGCCTTAACATGGAACCAAGGTGGGCGAAAAAGCATATACCTTCTGCTTGTTTCAATCTATATTTGTTCTAGATTTTTATTCCTACGGCGAGAAGCAAGCTCTTCTACGACCACTAGTTAGGCGTAAACTCTAACGGCAGGCCGGACTGGAGTATCGTCACCGACGCCGCCTTCGGAACCGGTACGACTTCTATCTATCGCAAGATCTAATACTTACATTCATCTCTTCAAAGGTCTTCTCAAAGTCCTCTGGGGTTGCAGGTGGCCGTGGCAACCAGTCATGAACATATTGTTGATAAAGACTCTCAAACGATGTTGAGTCGTTATATCGATTTTCCAACTGTAAAAGCAGGCCAAACATTGACATTGGTTAGCTAGCTCGAATTCATTCACGGCATTTCAGCTTTTTTATGTTCTATCATTAACTGTGCAATTTGTAACTTTTTATCGGTTCGAACCAGTCCAGTAAAAATCAACGAATTCATTATTGGCCAACCGTGATCCAATTGATCTGACGATAGTGGCGGCCACAAGTGATCGGGATAGCTAAGAAAAGTGCGAGAAGCTTCTGAAACACAGCCGTGCCACTCAAAAACGCCCGCTGTGTTTTCGAGGAACAACGACGGCGACGACGACGACGACGACGACGACGGCCTACTAAGTGGCGGTAGGTTGATGCCGATGTGCCGCGATTACGGTCGGCCGAAAGGAGAGTAAAAGCGATAATGGTAACAACAGCAGCTGTAATGACAACAAAGTTGCCGCTTGCGCGAGAATACTAAAGCAATACCATACTCTCAGATTATGCTAGGCCATATAATGTGGAGCTATATCGAAAGCGAAGTACAAATTTGTATCCGGGGTACGACAGATGCCATTGCGTAGCGGCCTTCATAATAATGATCATTTTCGTAGTGTCGATATTAGCGATTGCGGTGAGAATATTGGTGAGTTAAGGTGATGCCGTCACCTCGTGTCACGCTCCGCCTGGGTTACAACTAACCCATCACAATTATCATCATTGCTGCGTGCATGCGTGCGTGCGTGCGTGCGCGCGCCTCTTCGTATGTCAGCGGTCGGAGTACGCGCGTTAGGTCATTGCGCCGTACTCGGCTGCTGCTGCTGTGACGGTAGGGTATTGTGGTTGCGTACTGACGTTCCGTGGTCCGTGCGTGATGGACAGCCCGTGTACGGCTAACTTGGAGCTGTTTACTTGTGAGTGACTTGTGCGCGCTGGAAACCAGTGGCCCCCCAGCGAGAGAACGTAAGAGGGCCAACTCAGAAACTCCTATACGTCATCAAATGCCATTACCTCCAAATTGGACAATAACTCTGCCAGCTGAACGAGTTGGGTTGTTTTTTTCTAGGTGGAAGAGTTCGTAAAAGTTAAGAAAAGAGTGTGGGCAATATATATAGACGAAATGTAGCAGCGGCCGATTAGCAATGCTGTCCCGATGCCGCAGTAGGGGCTGCGTGATTAACATGAGTTGACTGGCACGAGCTAGGCCCATTACGCGAACTTATATTTGAACCCGTTTGACCCGAAAAGGGATGCGCGAAAGTAAGCGCCGGAGATGAGCGGCCAAATAGCTGAACGCCGCTTGCTTGCTTCGGGTCAACATGATGCCTAGGGTATTATGAGGAGCTATCAGTACGAGAGTCGAATAAGAAAGGAGGATCCAGTAAAAGAACGTTTGTTGCTGCTGCTGGAGAAAACTGTTTGGACCTAGTACAAGTTAGCTGGCAGCTAAGAAATGAAAGATTAAGTGCCTCAAATTACAGCTGCTCGACGTACGAACAGGCCGGCCATCGAACTAATCGTTACGGACGCTGCAAGAACACATGTTACGCGCTACTACATAGACCTATTATATGCATACATACATATAGGCATAGATACAGAGGCCAAGCCAAGCCGTCAAGCTGAGTCACCACCATGAGGTGATCCACCTAAGACCTATCGAACTGACAGACTGACCAGCCTGGTCATCCGTCCAGCCCATCCCGTTCGTGCTTTCGATCTCGTCATTTGCTTATTGTGTACCAGTAGCAACGCGATGGCAGAGAGACTGTTCCTGTTGTTTTAATTTGCTCGTTAAAGGAGACAACGAAGGCATTTGAATTGGTAGAAGTGGCATGAGCGGGATCTTGACGGGGACGTCCACTGACCTACTAGGGATTTCCAACCTCTCACTACCTCACTGCTTCCGTCTTATCGGACTGCAACGGCAACGTTAAAGCTCGCCCCCTTACAGTATCCTATAGCTTTAGTAAAATAATCAAGCTATTGAATATTGCTACAATTCGACCGCTGTCGATGTACGACAGAATGCGTTGAGTTTAACGTAATCGCTGCTACCGCCTGCCCCGGCAACGGGGGTTGCTTCGTTCCCCATATAAGCAAAAGCAGCACCAACGGATAAATGCAATTTTCGGAGAAAAGAATTGCCATTCGTTGTTCCTGCCCGTGCTGCTGGCGCCGCTGTTGTTATTTCGAGTCAAGTGCGCTAATTCCCTGGAATAGTCTCTGGGTCGGTTCATGTACCAGCAAAATCTACCCTTAAATTCGTGCAACATCGCATGATCCGGTTGAAATAGGCGTGTAGCAGCAACATCAGGAACTAACAGGCGGGTATAACACAGGGACAAGGAACAATCCGGAGGGGGGGCTGCACGTCGCCACTGGGGTTAGAAAGGATATTGTTTTGAGGGAGTACTAGTCCAGATGAGTGGAGAGATCGATGAGTTTCCAGGTAAAGCCGACGGGCAGTTGCTTGCCGGATGGATATCAGAAATGGACCGAAGAGAGCGTGTGGAAACCAAGGACATCGAGCAGTCTCGTTTATTCATTGGCTGCCCCAACTGCTTCTCCGACTGGCTGCTGTTCGGACAGTTTGGGGATTCCCCGGAACCATTCTACCCCCACATATCAACCGTATCCCCGTAGCCCCATCTCAGGAGCAGGTTACCCTCTCCCTCAAAGGACCTGCTTGGTCCATGTGGTTCGCACGCGACTCTGCCGGCGTCCGTTTGTTGCACCTACGTTAAGGCTAGTAGTTGTGGATACGCCATAACCATCATTACCAAATAGACTGGCGCAATGTTAACTGTCAAATAAAAATTAGTCCGAGTACTTATCACCTATATCATTTTGATACGATGCAAACAGCACTTCTGTTAAAAATAAGGCATGACTATAAAGGTGAAAAAGTCTCTACCTGTTTTCCGCTGTCTGTCAGGCTTTGGTTCCTTCCTCAGAAGAGGCTGCCTGTACGAGAGGTACGAATGTATTTACAATTATTTTTAAGGGATTCACCACCGGCTTGTCGGGTGGGGTGTTTTTTCAGTGTAGTGGCATGTACCGTAGAAGAGGCCTAATGGCTGGCAAGAGCTAAAGGCGCACGCGGAAAGAGTGAATGAGAAAGCGACCGGCTGAATGGGTCAGCTGGTTACGACCAGTGTCTGCCGGCAAATGGTCATCGTTGTTGTCCTGCCAGTGGTGGATCAGAATGACCGGTGTCGTGCCGTTGTCACTGCAGCGAAGAAGTGCAGAGAAAGCAAGTAAGCTAGTAGACCCTGACCATGGAAAGTTGCCGTTGCACAGATGCAATGAGTCCAGCGGACTGACTTTGTGGAGCGTGCCCGCTGCGTCGTCGATTCGTACTCTCACACACACACACACACCCACCCAGACTCTCGCCCGCCCAGGCAGTAACACGCGGCTACTGCAGGACGCGGCCTGGCGTCGCGACGGTCCTGCTACCCCCACCCATCGGGCGTTCCAGGAAGAGCCCAGAGGAAGAATCCTCAGCCACGAGCTTTCACCATCAACACCGACCGACCAAGTAAGCCAGCCATAACATAGTAGCAGCAGTCAAGATACAGTAATCGGCGGCGGCAATAACGCTGGAGGTTGTAGTGGTCCTACTGAGCCAACGAGACAGTCGACAGCGGCAGCAGCAGCAGCAGATACCACCATCGTCTCCGAAGAGGAGTCTGAGGAGAAGGCGCGCGGGGCGATGGGGGCAACAGGATAGACTGCGCGCGCTCCATGGAGTCATAGCGAACTCATCGCCTGGCGTCAGAAGCCCATGACCGCTTAGCGAAGTAAGCAGTGGACAAGGCGCTTCTCAGAAACAACTTGTTGGCAGTCGTAGGGCTGTCGGGCCCGTTGACTCCGGAGAGACTCGAATGATGATGATCAGGATAATACTGCTGCTGGCGGTTGTAGTATTGCCATGCGACGCACTCAGACCGAGTCTTCTTGGGTAAACCCTGTGCAACTCTTACGACTGGCGGATAGTGTCGCACGAACAGGCAATAGTACCAACAGTCACTACTATATGTCTGTATCATCACTGAGACAGTCGCAACAAAGAAAGCACTATGGTGCACAGTTCCTGTGACTTTCCAATTGGTAGTCGTAATTTACTTTAGCCTGACATATTGACAGCTTTGTTTGCAAAATTTTTATTAGACTGTTTGATTCAAATCAGCTTTGTCAGTGTTCGGGCGTATAATGTACAGTTCAACATGATACTACTGCTTCAGTCTTCTGTAAACGTAGACGTAAAGCAAAAATCACACAGCCAGGCGCAAAGACGATGCGATATTTCGGTGACTCTTTGCACTATCATTATTCTGATCATTTCGGAAGATATCGGCTATAAAGCCATCAAGTTGCAGCTAGAGAATCCGTTTCAACGGTTGGCCAGCTAAGTCGCTCGCACTGAATATTAATGTGATGTTTATGATATGTGCAATGTCAATCAGTAAAAAACAAGAATAAAAAAACTGCTAGCTAATAGTAACAGAAATGCAGACATATACGATCGCTGATGGGGCTAGCTAAGGAACTATGAACACTTTAGGCGCGGAAAATCATATTTCAATAATAATAATAATAAGAAATGTATATGTACATATACACGAATAAAGGCGAAAATAGGTACTTACGAAGAGTTTTTTCTTGTGGCCAGCTTCCAAACTGCTTATTCGAGCGTGGCGACCGATCTCAAGTAGGAGTGACTGGAGCTGGCTCCACGTCTTAACTTCAGGGATATCTCCCAGCCCGTCCTGACCGCACGGTGACGTCCAGGTAGGAATGCCGTTGATGACGTGACCGCTGCCTCGGCCACTGCTGCTTTGAAGGGGAGCCGAGATCGCGCCGTCAGTCCACAGAGAAAGCATGCACAAAAGCACTGAAAGTGCAAAACCGGTCATCGTTCCGTTAGCACCGAACGAACCCATGTCACATGGACGAGTCAACAGTTGATGCCGACGAGCAATATATAGATATATATACATATATATCTATAGAGTTTATGTATTCCTGAGGCTCACTGGCACTAGGGCTCACTGAACACAGATGAGAACGGAAGTGAAAACTTTATCTTTGGTGTGATTAGACTACGGGAGCTCTGAGGCTATTTAACGTTTGAGGATTTCTAGTTCAAACTAATCTAGCTAGACGTATCCAAGCTTCACACATCAGATATCGCTCGGGCAACTCATGTGATTTAACCGCTTTAACATTAACCGCGCCATAGTTTTGTATCGTGTGAGGGCAGCCCTGGCGGGCAACCCTCGCCCGCTGGAGAGAGGGCGCTCAGAGAAGGAGGGATCACACGCGAGCCGGCTTCAGCAGCAGCAGCATTAGTATATTTTGCCGCTTGAAGACTTCACCGGTAAACGAAATCGCCACCGCCACGACCGGTGAACGGAATACCGACCCAGCCGACTGGGTTAGAGTGACAGACCGAGAAGAACTATATATATATATATTGATAGATGTTGTCTTAGATAGGGTCTCTTGTAAAGTGGGTATATTGGCAAGCAATAGGTAGAAAAAGGATAATGCAAACACTTAATCGCATCATACCGCCGTCACGTCGGTGGTTTCTATACAGCTCTAAAGAAGTAATCTATGATGATTAACAATAGTTCAATGGAACCTAATGAGTAAACCCGTGATAGCCGATGTCATGGTCAGTGTCAAGGCTGCGCGTGATACGACACAAAAAAATTTCATTCACTGTTTCACTGGGTGATGCAGTAATAGCGACGAAGGCTGAACTAGACACGCTTGGTTACCTTGAAGCTTCAACGCCACCATCGAAGTGTGAAAAAAAATGAAACCAGAGCAAAAATTTAAAAGGACGTTCTAACAGATTTAAGATAGAGGCTAATGAGGCACCTGACAGCTTTGTTTCATGGAGAATTTCGCGACCGATTGTTGATCTATTCCAGCTCTAACTGTGCCATTTTTCTTTTCACGGTACCCTATGGGATGGATTTATGCTGCACATATAATGGATTCCGGCATTCTGTAAAATGTTCTTTCTCTATATGCTATAACACGGGTTGTTTCATTGAACTTCTGCTGGAAGTGAACTAGAAAGTTTTAGATTTTGTCTTTCTTGAATCGTTTATGTTTTAGATTATCGATGTGAATTTTCAACAACACAGAGATATTTTCCACCCAGTAACCCTAGCAAATTTATCTTTTTTCATCAGATTCAATCCTGCCAGAATTGTTGCTTCATTTGAAGTATAGGGATGTACATCTGTCGACAAAGTATTAACTTAGTGGAAGTCACTCATATGAGTGGAATTTTTTTGTGTCCTTCAAGTTTTCATTCAAATTTATTTGTGTGTTATGCTGTTTCTTAGCTGTTGACACATTAACTGTATCTAAGTTGAAGTGCGTTTTTCTCGTACTTTGCTTAACAGTTTGCGTGAACACACAGAAGCTATGTGACCTTGTGGCAGTAATAACAAACAATGGCTCGGAAATTGTCTTTTTCGGTCCAGTTTTCTATTGTACAAGTGCCGGGGCATAGTTATGATCTAACTATTATTACTAAATTTTTCTTTTATTTCGCTGGCGTTGTGTATATTTGCCCTTTAAATTTACGAACACTGAGTTATGTTTGACACCCACTTGTACATATATATCTCAAAGCTGAGGAAGTATCTAAAGGTTTTATTGGGCTCACTTTACGTGTGGTCATTTGTTTACCATGTTAACGTGTCTTTAAACCCTTGTTGAAATTGTTCTACAAAACTCCCCTGTAATTCTTGTAGACATCCAATGATTCATCGAAACCTCGTACACAGACCAACTAAGTTCGCCATTTTTTGGCAGTTTCCCGTCATGTGAGGCAAACACACGTCCTGAAGGACGTGCGTTTGCCTCACATGACTTTACTCGTTTCCTTTAATCTCTATTACCTATATATGCCATGATACTATACTCGAGACTACATGCCCGTGACCGAGATTTAATCTCTGCATGGTATGGTATTGGAGCATTAGACGGACAAATACCGTATCCAATAGATAGAGTATATACGAAGAGTATGAATTGCCCTAGGGTGCGGGTGCTTCTGCGGCCGAGTAATAGCAACGGTAGGAGGCACCATCTGTCGACTACTTGAACCTAGCCGTGCGTAGCAGCAGCTTTTCTTTGTACCCCTTCAGCATATATATGTATATACATATGGTATGGAAACGTTCCGAATGAGCGCAACTGTGTGAATGAGCAGCAGATAAACAAATCTCCCATAGAAGCGGGATCGAAACAAAGAAAATAAACGTGCTAATGTGTCTGGCCGTAGGCTTCCTAGTCGCCAGCTCCACCGTTACAACTATCAGAAGAAGTACGTTCAGCTCATTGGTGACCACAGTAGCTATTGGGGACCAATGGACGTCTTAAACGAGTTGCCAAACGAAAAACTTTATCAAGCAGTCGCCGACTAAAGGCAGGCGAGAGCAACAACCAATCTTGCTATGGATAAATCTTACCTAAAATAAATTCGATGATAATACCGTCGTTTAGCCGGGAGTCCTAGCCGTAATGGAAAGGTCATATTTGTCACGTTTAAAGCCTGCTGTATACCTGCTATCTGGCCACGACTACGTAGAAGGAAGCTCGGACAAAAGATGTGAGATGAAAAACATGCAACCCTTGGTTCTATTTGCTATCGATCTCAAACGGATGTGCAGAAAGAATGTGCCCGCGTTACGAGAAGCCGCTACTAACAACTAATTAGAAGGGGCAAAGCTTATCCGTTCCACTTGCCTTTTATGACTACTATACGATAATGCTGTTCTGGATAATTGGGGACTTCATATGATGCATACTGTCCGACTGCAGGACAAAGTAGGAGACGCATTGCATCAATATAGGCAGGGTTATTTTTAGCAGAAGCAACGAATGATACGTTTATTAGTTTGCATCATAGACCTAAACGTCTTGCGAGCGGTCGTCAGACACAGATTGATAGGCTCAGAAGAAGCCTTCAAAGCCCGGTTCCTTTTTACAGTGATACTGTTATATTGCTTAAACGATCATATCGTATGGTATGAAGTTCATCGAGGCCGCAATAAGATCGCAATTATAGATTCTTTTTTTGCAAATAGAAGCTAAAAGTAGGACCCGTTAGTTTTACGAGAAGAATTTACTTTTTGCAACTACCTTGAGCAACCCAGAAAGATTAAATAACGTTCTATAATCGTCATCGTTATGACTATGGCTTACTTCACCGATAGCGATAGTTGAAGCATTGCAAGCAAGGACAGGCGCAAGGATCGTTGCGGCGGTGGATAAGGACGACGCGTACTCGTTAGAATCCGAACTCCAGTTCCAAGTAGGAGCCAGTACAAAGCAAAGATAGCCAGTTAAGAGGGCTAAGTCCCTTCTGTGTTCCCGGTTGCCCCTGTTTGATAACGACGCAGTGACAATGGTGACGATAGGTCGATTGGATAGGATCGCTTCGACATCAGAGCGTGTCAAATTCCGCGCATAGCTGACGACGACGCGTATTATACGATACAAATACTATAATTATGGGCGACGACTGCAGCGCCAGTAGCAACAGCCATTTTATACTCACTAGGCCATATAACGACGCACGCGCGCGCGCGTAATGCATAAAGTCGGCCGACTCTAGTAGTCATAGTAGAAACAGCGGCGCGAACGTTTTTCTCTATGCGGGCTGCTATTATGAGGTCCGCTTGCGGCCGTTCGAGTGGCCGGCTGAGGCGAAACTGTCTGTTAATTGCAGTGGAGTCATCGTAGGAATACGACGCCGCTGCGTCTTGTGATCGCGTTAGTCCCGCTCTATTGCATATGTATCGTCCTAGTTAGTCAACGACAGAAAGCAATGACTCTCGATGGCGGCAGCGGCGTCATGGTCGTGGTCGTTATTTTTATTGTTTTGACAGGCATTTTTTCGTCGCATTCGTTTATAGTGGCTGTATGGCTACGATTGATGAACCAGCGGATGAGTTTTAACGATTTGATACAATATGTATGTTTACTATGCTATAGATAGATGGGAAATTCCGTCCGTTGTACAATTTCGAAAAGAAAGCCTGTGTTGTGTCTGTCCGAAAGAGCTCAAGTGTACATTTTTCGGAAACATTACAGAAGTTCAAAATGAAGCAAACGCGTTATCTATTCTTGTTCGATAAGTTCGACAGACAAAGGAACGTTTGCTCGTCTATCTATACCTAGATATGTGTGTGTGTCGCGTGTTGTACACAATGATCAAGGGGGCTGAGCGCTGCGGTACAAAAGGAAAACTACATCCGTCACGCAATTTTTCTTGCAAGTGATTCAGAGATGGCTGCAAATAGATCGGTATCATCTGATCTGATATACTGACTGACTGTGACGAATAGGCATATTAATATTATCGGTAGTGATATCAAAACATTGCTTTAGAGGCAACACAGTCATTATTGTCATAGGTCGCCACTTTTCCCTAATCGACCAATGCCGATTTTGGTAAGACATCTTGAAAAATATTCGGATTTTTCAGTGCGCTATACTAAAAGGCGGGCGGGGGAGGTCTAAGCAGAAACTATATATAGTGTCTTTCTGTACAACTATATACCATAATGGTTAAAAGTAGCTGCGCTCCGAATTAGGCAGCGAGAAATTGAAGCTTCGACAACCTAGCAACTTATAAATCTGGATTTGCCAATCTTACAAACGAGTTCAAGTTAAGCTGTACACAAATGGAGTACTTGTTCCTGAAACTAGAAAATGAAACTTGTTATCTGATACATTGCAGGAGCCCGTACTCGTTTTTTTTTGTGAAATTGGAACACACGCCGAAGCTCTTCAAACGACTTGCCCCGCATCTAACATAAGTTACTGGTGCTCCGAGGCTACCTGCCATAACAGAGGTCA